CCCCAAAACCCCAAAACCCCAAAACCCCAAAACCCCGTATGATTTGAATTTAAAAATCACTTTCACAAAAAATTCAATATAATTGATACACTTCTATATTCTCAATAGCAAACTATTAGTCACCTCCGAGATACTCATAGTCACTCAGATTATTTGCTTTACCTGAATTTTCAAAGCACATTCCAAGAGCTGCTTCATGTATTTTACTAGCCAAGTCTTTGTATATTTTAACATCTTTGAATAACCCAACTTAAATAAGAAGACTCTGCTAGTCACTAGTTTTAATCTATGAACTAAGCAAATTGTTATCTTCAAATTGCATTTCAGATTTTAAATCATGAATAGTTTAATGTGTGATTGATATCAGTCTTACTATAGAACTAGTCTAATGAATAGCATATCTATAGTTCTTATCAGTTTTTATCATAATCAAAATCTTAGAGTATTAAGATTGGAATATTTATTCAAGGACTTTTTCCGAGATTGTATCCTCGTCACAGATAAATCTGATTCCTTCCTTTATCTGTAAAAGGCTTTCCAGATATTGCCTGCTGATTTAAGTATCTACTACTTTGCTTCTCTTGAAGCCGAATAGCAAGTCGATTTACAATATCTGATCTTAGTACAGATCAAATTGATATTTAAGACTAGATCTGGTATTTTTGTCATTTATCTAGTTTTCATCATCAGTTTGCACATCTTAAGTGTCTATTCTCAGATCACTTATCATACTTTATAATCTTTCGACATATGATAATTTTCTTGATCTCAAGATTAGGATCTATTCTTCACAAACTTTTAAAGCCTGCTGGAATTACCGACTCTTAGATAGTTTAGGGTCCTAACAAATCACTTGATATGTGGAAATAAGTTCATCAAATTCTCTGTCTTTAGACTATAGCAAATCCTCATCTTATTCTGGCTCAGTTTAATTTTCAATCTTTTTATATTTCACATCCATTTGAATTTTAAATTTATATGTTCAAAGATAAATAAGTTATTACTATCATCCTAAATATATATTACTGTTAATTTATATTTCGGGATAATTAAGTTAAAATTGATCATAGAGGAGAGAGGAATATACTCAAGTGTTTTAAATATACATCTTCATTGTCTGAGGAACATAGCTTCTCTGGCAGGGCCTGTACCAACCCATGTAATTGGAATGCTTAGCTCCTTTTCGATGAACTTGATGTAGTTTTGGGCTGCTCCTGGGAGTTTCTCAAATTGAGTAATGTTGCTAATGTCTTCTTCCCAGCCATCTAATTCAACATACTTGACTTGGCACTTGCCAAGGTCGTCAAGTGAAGCGGGCATTTCTCCGTCTAGCTTTCTGCCGTTGAGTTCGTAGTGAGTGGCTACCTTGATCTTGTTGATACCGGTTAGTACATCGAGCTTAGTCATGTTTATAGAGGTTAGACCGTTAAGCTTGTGAGAGAACTTAACAACATTAAGATCTAGCCATCCGCATCTTCTTGGTCTGCCAGTAGTTGCGCCGAATTCGTGTCCAACTTTTTATAGTCTTGCACCGATATCATCTAAGCATTCTGATGGGAATGGACCGCCACCAACTCTAGTAGTGTAAGCCTTCATGATACCTATGGTAGTCTCTATTGCTGAGGGTGGGACTCCAAGTCCAGTACAAACTCCTCCCACTGTTGTGGATGATGAAGTTATATATGGATAAGTGCCAAAGTCAATATCAAGCATTGTAGCATTCGCTCCCTCTGCAATTATTCTCTTTTTGCTATCATTCAATGCTCTGCTTAGATACTAGATAGAGTCAACAATCATATTTCCTTTTGTTATTCTCTCGTTTAGTTATCTAAGTTCATCGAGCTCTTTCTTCTTATCGAAGTTGTCAATTCTATAGAGGTATGAGAGTTCATTGACGAATGTGTTGTATTTCTCTTCGAATCTTTGCCAGTCTAGGAGATCTCCAACTCTCAATCCAATTCTAAGTGCCTTGCTGGCATAGGTTGGACCAATACCTCTCTTGGTGGTGCCAATGGCACTCTTTCCCTTTTGTTGTTCCAAGAGACCATCTGCATGGATCTAAATATCACTCACTAAATGAGCTCTATCGCTGATCAACAATCTGCCTTTGTAGTCAATGCCGTTCTTGTCTAGTTGAGCAAGCTCCTCAAAGAGAGTGGGTACGTGCATAACAACTCCATTACCGAGTACATTAATACATTTTTAGTAGAGAATACCACAGGGTAAAAGATGGAAGGCATACTTTTGTCCATCAGCTACTACTGTGTGACCAGCATTAGCTCCACCATTGAATCTAGCACAGATATCGTAGTCTTTAGCTAAGATGTCGACGAGCTTACCTTTGCCCTCATCACCCCATTAAGTGCCTAAAACGACTGCGAAACGTGAGTTAAGTCCAGTCTGACATACTTGCCTTGATGCGAAGGCTCGCTAAGATATCTTTGACAGCATATTTTTAATTAAATAAATACAGGATTATTTGGCTTCAAAAGATTCTTAAATATCAATATTTTTCTGTTAAAATCTTAAATCTCTAACAGATTTCGACATAATGGGGTTTTGGGGTTTTGGGGTTTTGGGG